GAGGAGGAGGACGCAGCTTGTGCGGAGATGCTAGGTGTGGAGAGACTCGTCGCAGCTCGTGATGAAGGGGACTGGGTGGTGCGTGTAGCTAAGCGGACACCGCCATGTGCTGTCTCGTCATCAGCAGCTAGTTCGCCAAGATGCCGCTTAGGCTGTTCCTCGTCGCCTGTTTGCACGACGGGCGTCGTCATCGCAGCGAGATCGATTGCGCCAGCGTTGTCGAGTAGATCATGGTCGGCGTCATGCCGCGATTCGAAATCAGCATATTTCTCTTTTTTGCTCTGGTACTTGTTGAGCGAGACATTCTCCGTTGTTACGCTGCCGCTTGGCTCCTGCCATCGCTTCGCTCGCTCTTGGCGGAAAGTGGCGGGCGGCTCGCTGCTGCGCCTTCCGTCCATGCTACTGTCGTCAGCAGTGTTCTCACTGCGACTGTTGCCGCCAAGCGATGTTCGGGGTGGAAGCTGACCCTGACCTTGAACGAGGTACGAGTCGACGTTGACGTCTGCGTCGCCCTTCTGCCGCTCTGGTACCTTGTTGTCAGGCACGTGAATGTGGGGCAAGGCCTCCTCCATCTTAGCTGCGACGGCTGTTGCCGAGTGCTCGCACAGTGGGCGCGCCGCGATGGATTTGGCCTTGATGAGGCTGCCCGGCTGAGGATTCAGCGTGGCGAAGCGGCCGTCGAAAGTGACATGAAGCAAGACAAGATCAGCGCGCGAGGGTGGGCAGGTGCGGCTGCTGTTTGAACCGAACTGCTGCTGCTGGTCATTTGGAGCCTGAATGTTTTTGTGTTCATATGTGGTTCTGGCAGTCACTCGTGATGCCGTGATTTGAGATGTGAGTCGTGGGTAATGATCGAGTCAATGAGTGTAGCAGGAAGCGAAAGCACGGCATGCACTTGACTCGTGACTCGCCCGCCGATCGCTCGATCATGGATGGGTCGCTGCTGCCCGAGCCCCAAAGTACGAAACTCCGACGTGCTTGTCAAAATTAGCAACTCGATGAGCGCATACAAATCGAGATGCCAGCAGGTCGCTGCAAGGCACAACAGCCTCGTCCGCTCACGCTCAATCGTTATTCAAGCCTCCGCAGAAGGTTTTGTGGAAGAGCTATAAGTAGCAGGCCCCAAAGAGCGCGGGCACTTCCATACAATGATACAATCGTGAATCCTAAATCAGCTCGTCTCGCATCAAGGTGTGCCTGAACGAATCGCTGACTATCCATTCAATTCCATTGTGCTTGAAGAACATCACGAGAGCCAATCGGGAATCGCGAATGCCCACTCAGTGACCCACGACTCACACTAGATCGCACATAGAGAGCGCCGAAGAAACTTTCGCCCGCTTGCTCCCACCTTCATCTTGCACCTCCAACTGCATGGCACGCATGCACCGCTTGGCCGACTCTTTCCTGCTTCAGGGTCCGATGCGATCGATTTATACAGCAGGTACGGTGCGCGCAGCCAGCAGGAGAATCAGACGCCATCTCTACCTACATCCTGCATAATGCAACAGTCCTCAGTCTCTCCCCTCTCCCCTCTCCCTCCACAACCACGAAAGCCCTGTTCTGCTTTTCCCTGCATAGACAGCAGATCAGCAGACGTTCAGTCACGCGTATCACGTACAGTCCAGAGTACGGGGACAGCAGCATGCTGTACACCCATGGCATGCTGGCAGCAGGGCCTAGCCTCCCTTGATTGCTTACATATCTTGCACGCATGCATGACGGCGCACCAGCACATACTTGACTCGATCACAAGCTCCGGACCTTGCCACGCCCACTCGCGTCCGAGCTCGACTCACACTCACGTCGACTCACACGTCCACTCGAATCCGTCAGCCCGCCATGTCTATCACGGCTACTACCATCGCTCCATTGATCCTCATGAGCTTCATGATTGTGCATTCCCAAAACCTT